TCATCATAAGAGATATATCAGTCATCTGGTTTGACTCCAGACGTAATTGCATCTCTGGAGATCGCTCCTCAACTTGTTGATGTCGATATGGATCCAAAGCACCAAGAATACCCATTAGTTTGATAGTCTCTTGTCGCAATGGTCCCCGTTGTGGTTCTCCTCGAATGATATTCTGCAAAATCTCCAAAAGTCGAGGGTATTCCAGATATGGCTTAATGACATAACCTGAGTTGCTTGCCAGTTGACCTAAAGTTCGTAAAGAAGCTTCACGTTTGGCAGAAGAGCTTTGATCCTGCAAAGCTTCGATGATTATAGGCATAAGCTGCTTGATGAATGGAATCATGCCCTCTCCTCCAACACAAGCAAGTTCACCAATAGCCTTCATAATTGTGGCAGCCACAGCTGGACTAGGATCGCGAGCTTTAGGCAATAAAACATCCATCATAGGAGTAACATATGGTTTGATCAATTTCTGCGAGTTTTGAACGAGTAAGCTAAGCAGTTTAGCGCTTTCTTCTTTATTTCTCGCTACGTCGGAGAACTCGAGTTCTGTGAGCATTTGAATGAGGACCTTTCGCAAAGAAGGAATGACATATGCAGGATTTACATGCGTCAAGCGGCCAATGATTGTGATGGCGACTTCACGGATTTGGAACACCTCGTCATTCAAAGCAAAGAACAGAGTTCGGATGTTCTCTGCTTTTGCAAGATGTCGATCGAATCGTTCGTCAAGAGCAGCTAAAACCACTCTTCGAATGCTAGGATCCGGATCTCCAACACCGACGGTGAGTAATTTCTCAATGACTTCGCTAACGACTTGGATCGCATGGTGACTCGTTTGATTAACAATAGGATCTCGGACATAAAGTTGACAGCACGTCAAAGCAGCTGCCTCTCTAATCTCTGGATTCTCATCTTCGACATATTTGATAGCAACATCACGCACAAATTCGTTTAGAACATGTCCAGAAAAGTCAAAACTGCCTAGAGTATTAAGGGCTAGCTTGATTTCGCTTTGGCGGTGCTCATATGCTTGTGGGTCTTTTGAGTCTTTTGGCACGACTGGCGCAGCGGCAATATTATTTGGTGTAGGGGCTCCCAGCGGTTTGAATGGCTCGCCACAGAGAACCTTGCTCAGCATGTCCAGCAGTCTTTCTTGGATGATAGGCTTTACTGGTGGTATATAGAAAGCCATATCTACCAAAGCTTGAGTCAACTTGGGACTTAGCTCACATGCAAATATAGGGTCTAAAAGTGCCTCCATATACTTGCTGAGGGTTTGCCCAACTGCGACTGCTAACCTGCTGATGCAATCAAAGACTGGATCCACTGTGCCAAGTCGTCTCCTGAAGGGAATGGTTAGCTTGCATATGTACATGAAATTCCGCCAGAACTTACGACTTCAGTGATAAGCCTTCTCTGACGTAGATTAAAACTCCATCTAGGTAAGAGGCAATAGCACTTTTGACAGCATTGGCGATATTTCCAATAGCCAGAAATGCGTCATTTCTATCTTTATCCTTCTTGAGCATACCGGATAAGAACACCATAAACCTGTGAAGGTAGGATTGAGCAAACTCGGTGGGAGAATAGTTCGCCAATTCAGGTATCAGCATAACAACGGTTTTACGAATCTGTGCGTCTCGGTGATCTTTGTGTCGAAAAACGATTTCGCAGACTTCTGGATAATGCTCGTGCATAAACATACCACCTTGCTGAAGAAGCTCCTTAATGACAAGAAGAGATCCATGGATATATTCCACAGTCCCTTGTCTCACACCCTGAACAGCTTCGTCGTAGATCTTTGCCTGCCATGTCTGTCGTAAAGTTGGATCTCTCTCCCTAATTATCTGAAAGCATGCACTTATAGCTTCTGCTGCAGTCTGTCGGATGAGAAGTCGCTGATCTCTCAAACCTACCCATATCTGATCGAATATTAACCCAACAAAAGTGTAAACCAATGTTGGAGAGTTTCTGCCCAATTCTCGCAAAACCAGAACCGCGCTATATCTTTTTTCTTCGATTCGATCGGACTGTAAGTATTCCAGGGCGGTTTTGACCTCACTCTCCACCAGGTCCGACACCAACGAACCTCCAGGCCTACACATCTTCCCCAATGCCATTGCCGCCGGTTGCATAGGAGCAAGATCCTTCCCTCTCAATATATTTCGAAGGGATTGTCCAAATCGAGTGACTCGTTGTCCAACTTCTATACCGTCGAAATCGACCAGCGCATCGATAGCATATATACCACCAGTTCGCTCAACATCTCCATGGTGGCCGATGAGACTGGTGATCTTTCCACTGACAATATTGGAAAACTCCGTGTATCGTTCCTGGGGAAAGTCTACCAGAACATTGATTAGTTGCCAGTCCCATAGACTAGTATGAAATGTAAGCCTCACCTCTGGAAGCAACCTCCAGCAACTCTCTTAGCTCCAAGGCTGCTCTCTTTCGTTGTTCATCACTCCTACATTCGAATCATTAGCTACCAACACCGCATAATAATATACTCAGTTGCGTCAAGCTAACCGTGATCGTAAATCTGCCACAATGCGATTCAAAGCATCAAATGCTTGATTAGATTGTTGTGACATCTTGGCGTCTTTTCAAAGCTTCTCTCAATGAATGGGTTTGCAGTTCAACCAGCAGCAGTATTATGCGCATTCCATCCTCGTCCTCGTCCTCGTCCCCGTGCGGCTACCCGGCTTAGTAATTGTTTTCGTTGTTGTATTTGTTTTTGAATAAACCTGCAGTTTGATTATGGGCAGGCAGGAGTTTGAAATGCTCACTGTCTTATGCGTTACCTACTTAATGACGGAGAGCTCAATGTTTTGATGCTGAACAGACGAGTTCGAGGTGAAAAGTACGCTAAATCACACATTCACTAACACGGTGCGTGGCGATAACGATCTTATCAGTAAAACGGTAAGACCGCCTCCAGAACTTCGAAGACCGCCTCAGTCAAACGGTCAAACCGTCCATCTTTCCTACGTCGAAAAAAGAAAAAAGATTTATTTCGTCTCACTCATCAACAAGTCGCTCCGTGAAAATCATTCGTTTCGTATCTTCAAGGGTTTGAACTTATACCAATAAAGAGCATATCTATTTCCTCGCCATGGGTAACGATGGTGGAAGTATTCCTACTCGTCGCGAACTTGTAAAAGAAGCAGCCCGCAACCCAAATACTTCAGAATTGAAAGCTACCCTTCACGAATCACAGACACACGCCTGGACATATTGTCCTCTCTCCAATAAACCTCTCACTAGACCTATCGTATCCGATTGCGCCGGGACGCTCTACAACAAAGATGCCATTCTCGAACAATTACTTCCTAAAGACGACGATGTCCCCGCTTCAGTCATAAAGGAGAAGGAAGAGATTCTGCAAGGACGAGTCAAGGGACTTCGCGATATTGTTGAAGTTAAATTCTCCACGGTCAAGGAAGATAAGGAAGAAAAAAAGATATGTCCTATAACCAGTAAGGAGTTGGGAGCTGGCACCAGAGCTGTCTATTTAGTGCCATGTGGACATGCGTTCTCAGAAGTTGCGATCAAAGAGTTGAAAAGCGATACATGTGTGGAGTGTAATGAGGGGTATACTGCGGAGAATGTCATATCTATACTTCCCATATCGAAAGAAGATATCTCAAGATTAGCAATGCGAGCGAGTAAGCTGAAGGAAGGAGGGTTAACTCATTCGCTGAAGAAAGCTCCAGGGGGTAAGAAAAAAAGAAAGCACGCGACGGAAACGGAGTCTGCGGTCCCTTTGGAAAATGGGAAAGAAAACTCTCTTCACAGGAATCAATCTCGGGCGAAAGAAAATGGAGTTGCCGACAAGGCCCAGGCTCGAATACAAGAGAATGGAAATGGGCCAGCGACAACAAGGTTAAATAATAGACCATCCGCAGTACCTTCAGGTATCAAAAATGCATCAGCGGCAAACCTAACAGCCAAAGTTTTAGAAGAGCAAGAGGAACGAAACAAAAGACGAAAGTTGGGGATGAATGATAATCTTAAGAGTCTGTTTTCGAATACCGGATACAATGCACAGGAACAAAAGGGTGGGGATTTCATGACAAGAGGGTTCTCGATGAATAAAAAAACTTAGGGGAATGTGGTACAGGAAAGATGGGAAAGCGTGGCGTTAGGTGTTGTTGGTTAGGGTGCTTGATTTCTGTGGGATATCGTCTCCAGTTTGTACATTATGTACCAAATGACAATTGCATGATACCATTTTTCCCAGGGCAGTATCATAGTTACGGAATTTTTGAGGGTGTGAATGAATCAGTAGTCACAAACTTCTTCCTCTTCCCCATGTTTATCAGAACCATGAGAGCCTCTCTGTTAGTACAGAATTGCTCTCCATATACTGATAGACTTTCTGTGTTTCATATCCTCACAACGAACCAGGTTTCGACTTCACTCTCGATTCTACATCCTTTCATACAATCGACTAGAAGTATATTTTGCATTGAATCAAGCATTCTGGTTCCTGGGACTCGACCAATCTGGACCTATCCCGAAATCCCCCTCTTTGTCATATATACACTTTCTGCTCACCATATATCCCAGTTGATATTCATCTTCGACCCAAAGCTTTCATTCCATATATACGCCAATTCTCCAATGTCTTTCTTGCCCATTCCACTACCACATACTGAAGTTGAGCTTGGCCGAACGATTACCAGGGAAACTTCCGCTTTGATTAATCATCTTGCTTTGTTCATATACTTAAGTAGTCTTGAATCCCTATCTCGAATTTACCGGGGCAATATATTATGAAGAGCAATGTTTAAGTACTGCGTGCGATTAACCCGTTCACTTTGTTAGAAGACCAGCATCTGCACGACGTGGAACATGACTATATTAAATAGCTGATCGCTCACGACAACGACGAATGAGGCCCGTGAAGAGATAAGTTTTCGGTAAGTACATTCCACCATCGTCTCTATGTAATTCTGATCCAAATTCTATTTCATCTCAAATCAATCAAATTTTCACCCCTTCATTGAGTTTTCCCACCATTCTCCCACCTTGTACCTGGTTTCAACTCCCCCCTTTATAATCTGCATTGCCCCCCAAGCACTCCACTCACTCACACCTCTCTCCTCCTCCTGTTCTCCTCCTTCCAACCTCGGAATCACCCTTTTACCCTCCAACCTCTTCACTGAAGCATTTTTTCCCGATCTCACCAGATAACCTAAACTCTGTCTCGTAACGCCCGCCCGATTTCCCGGCGCAGTAACAACACGATGGAGTGAGCTCCGTAATATTCTACCTGTCCATTTAACCATCGTGTCTCTGATATCTATCAGTGCGCAGCCTGGTACCGGACGGATGTATTGCCAATTCTCATTACGGTTTTCTGCTGAGGAGGGAAGAACGTGTAGACCCCCTGCGATATTGAAGAGCATCGTTATGGTTCTAATATCTGTATGGCCGCCTAAAGTGACCCGATGGTTTTGTGTAGATGTTTGAGGACGACTAAGTAGCATGCGCAGAGAAGTTTTCGATTCCTTGTCTAAAGAGTTCAGGGACTCTAGGGTGCCAGGTGCGAGACCCAGATGTTCTTCAAGGTGGATTGAAATTACGTTCAGAACTCCATGGGCGTGACAGAAGAACAAAATTATATTCTTCACGATGAGCTTCGATTTGCAAGGGGTTTGCACATGGTGAACTTATTCCGAGTATGTCTTCTTGTCCGATGGAATACAGTGCTATGTTATCGAGCTTTCCGTCGTCAGTCTTCAATACACCAGAAGCTTTATATCTGAGATAGTGTGGTTACGTCAATCGTTCATTTCTTCCCAAGTTTAAAATGTCGAATCAGCAGTGGGTGCCCAAACTAATGGAAATCCTTGAAGACTGAACTTGGCAATATCTCCTCAAAGATTAATTCAAGTGCTGCAAAATTTGGGTTTGTAGTTTAAGATGAATCAACCAAACGATACGGAGCTTCCAGTCTTCCTCAAGAAGAGATTGAATTTATTACAAAATGTGGGAAGTTGGGAAATGTCCCGGGATTCCCACCACCCACAAGTGAACACTTCCATAAAGAGTAAGATGAGATAAACACTTACCCCAAGATACTTTTGGGGGTTGGTATGCGTATTTCTTCAATACTTCATAATCAAGAGTAAGTGTTGATGCAGTAATGTCAAACATCTTCTCTGCGTCGCCTAGCAAAGTTTCACCTCGATCACCATTTCTCAGTTCCAAGAGGAAGAAACCATATTATTGGCATGCCTGAAAAAGCTTTTTGGACTCTTCATTCACATTTATTTTTGTGTTGGTTGAATGAAATGCTTGGAATGCTAGTAACGTTGAGATCGGCTGGAAATTCATGATACTGATTGAAGTACTTAGGAGTAGGTATAATAATGTTTCTTTGAACAACAATGATATCGTGTAGATGTTTGTTTTCTGGTCAAGAATATTTGGCAGATTCATTGAATGAGTATTGGAGCGTGAAGCACTCCAGTGACATACACGCTGTCCAAAACACACTCACCACAAACCTGCATCAATGTTGCAAAACGTAGAATGATGCTCATTCGTCAACTGGTCATATCTACCATTTCATTCTAGGAAGGAAAGAATTCAATTCGTTAAGATATCATCAGATGAGTAGGGCCAGACATAGTCAATGATATGTTTGCTCTGTGTTTTGCGAAGCAAATAATCCAACACATATGGATCGAATGTGTGGAATCGTTAGGCAAATTTTCGGGAAGATAGTGGAAATAGTAAAGCCTCTGCCAGAAAGTTCATCGATTCCATACAATATTATCTTATATCATGAGACCAAATAAGAGCTCCAGCATGGGAGCAAAGCGAGTATAAATTAGAGAGTGCATATCGATCAGACTCTATCACTCCAGGAACTGAACAGAAATGTTAGACTTGGAATCACACCTACCCGAAAGCATCAAACAGAATGCTGTTAAGAATTGAAGTAAGATAAATTAAGTCTGCAATCACATTGAAAAGCTTGTTAGAGCCGCATATGGAAATTAAGCTACCCAGGCGTGTCACTAGAACCCGCCCCTGTAATCGTGACTTATGAATTATATGTAAACTGCATGATTCATTGAATAAGCGAAGCAGTAAGAAAGTGTACAGTACAATAGGGCGTAGTGATGCTGTCATCCATGTTACAGCATGGTGCATAGCGGAGTACATATCAGAATTCACTGAGATGCACTTATCCAATAAAAATCACCGGACTGTATACCTTGTCATTTTGCGGATCTCAAACAGATAAATAAACTTGGGAAATGAGGGCGACTGATGGACCTCAACAATCATTACACTTTCAAGTTTTGTTGCTTGTTTCATTTTCTTCTTTACTGACACCAGCAAGGCTCAAAGCCAGATGGCATGAGTGTAGATTTCGAACTCAGACCGACGGAAAAACGTGTGCTATACTACTGTACTAGTTGCCTCGGAGGCCGAGGATCGTTTGGTTACCTGTCGCCAACAATAATGCCTTTAGAGTATCAACTTACAAATTGATTGTACTCCGAAATTTACTTATGAGCGGTTGCAAATGCTGCAATATTTCCGAACATGTCCTAGAATACACGCATGCAATGTGGAACTCTCTTGATCAACAACAGCAGATTTTATTCATGTACAGCAAATTGCATTCTAATGAAGTCGGTAGCTTGAGATATACAGCTTAAAACATGTCTTTGATTACCACTATTATACACTGGTTTTAGATTATTCATCTTTGATCTCTATCCAAACAAAGAGCAATTTTTCAAATATTCTTTCTACACCAACAATATTAGTGCACCTCACCTCATTCGTCTTATCACTCGACTATTAAACTCATATCAAACCCAGGCCTATGAAACGTGTGAAGACTGTGCTTTAAATAAGTACACTCACGACGTAGTACCCCGCATGCAAGCCTCCTTGGACTACCAATATTAATCTCTTTTACTGGGTTTGACAGCATGAAATTGTGTTCACGGGTGTTTGATGTTCGTACGAGCACTCGTACGAGTATGTGAATTTAACCGCGAATCCTGATTATCGCACTGCACTTCGATAACAATGATTGATATCCTGCTTGAGATGAAGATGTGAAGTGAAAGCTTCGGAAAGAATGGGGGTACGTAGGCTTTTATGGCCAAGAATATTAGATTAACAAAGCAGCCGGATACTGAAATTTTGGATGGGAGGTATTAAGAAGGTATCGTCCATTCAAAATATGGTATGGACTCAAAGCACAAGATGATCATTTCTTTAGCAGGTAGGTTGATTTCCGAAAGAAAAAAAGAAAAAACAACTTATGGTGGGCAACTTTCCCCGGATCTACTAGATCTGCCTACGTGATCCTTTCCAACTCGGCATCTTCCCGCTCTCGCCATTACCATGCAATGCAACCGACCTGACATCCTCTGCTACTAGGTATTTGGCAGATAACGGCGCATGCCGATACTTGTGTACTTAACACTTTATTTAAATCGTGGTTATGCATGAGCCAAGAATATCCACGTTATGTTAAATCTAGACTTAGATATCAAACAAGAATTGATCACTTCCCGATATTCGAAAATTGTGATTGGGATGGATGAGTCTATATTGTCAATTGAGCATGTGAGGACTTTCCCCATGGAGAAAAGGCTTTGCTGTAAGCTTATCGATGTGCATTGCCCGTACCCTGTATTGCCGGCACAAATATATGGTGTGCACTTTGAAGTAGCTCACAGCACTGCAGGTGTTGGAATTTAAAGCGGCAACTTGCAGCATCTGTGTCTTTGCCAATTCGACAAAAATAGTGGTTTGTTAATCGTTTCCATTGACGCGTGTTATTGCGTTTCCCCTTCGGAATCAAATCCTTTCGGGATAGAACGCAAATCTCCGATGTTATGATGGCGGAAGGGAGGGATGAGTTGTGTAAATCAAATTTAATGTATCATTTTACCCTGAGTAGCAATGGGACTGAGTAGCCTTGCAAGACTTCTAGAAGGACCAATACACCAAGGGGCTCTTAGATAGTTGACAAGAAGAACCCAAGGATTCGGAGCGCTCAGCTCCCAAGAGATTTCGAACGTCATGTTATTCCCCCCCGCCTTCGCCCCGCTCGGGAAAGAATTCATTTCCGTGATTTTCTTGTCTCGGCCGTTCCATTTCTGCTGGCAGGTAATAAATGGCCTGGGTGATCGCCATGTATTAAGATGATTCGAACCGGGAATGAGAAAAGTAATTACCATTCCTGGCCAGGCAGATAGAGATGGTAGATCGTTCAGCCTGATAAATTTCCTGGCGATCTTAAGGCTTGATTGGTGAGACGGATCATGTTGAGTTTGGAGGCTGCTTTGACGTGAAGGAGGATTCATGAGCCGCGGTTATGTATACAATATGATTTAAGAATTATATCGAACAGGACAGGGAGTTTGGATATTGCGTGGAAACTTTATAGTAAACAAGTGTCTATGTGATGCGTGTAATGTGTGTAATGTGTGTACTGTTTGTATATACTTTTCTACACCTCGAGGTTGATACTTGTTTGGGTAATTCTTTCGAAGCTTGGAAGTTGGTCGGGACTCGGGCCTTATGAGTGGACGAATCTTATATCGGCTAGGATCAAGGGGTGAAACCTTGGTCATCCGTCACCCATCACTCATTGAGACTTCTTCCGAACCATTTGAGTTTTCAAGCACTTTGCCTCTGATTGATGACTATACACAGTATGTGAATCAAAGCTGTGAATGAATGGTTCGTGAGCTTTTCGATTGATGTTGAGACAGTAGAGTAAGACATAGGATTCAAAAAGCAAGCGCCCCGATGATTTATGATTTATGATTTATGAGACAAGAAGTTGATATCCACTTCCCGAGCGCTTTTGGTGATAGTAATGAATCAAATGCATTCATGGGGTCATTCTGGAAAGGGAGGGGAAGCGCAATAGAACTTGGAGGAGGCAGACTACGAAAGGGAAACTCTGGCGATGAAGGCTGGCTGCGTTCATGAGATGATAATTGAACTTAAAATCCTCGTAAAGTAGTATTGTAATAACGAATTATCTTGGATAGTTCTTGACTTCATGTTTCATATAAAGACGTTCTTCATCTATATTTTGTACAATTGTACTCTGTTCTCCGTACATTCCTGTTATTACTGAGGCGTGAAATGAACGTTAGTGTATAGTCGAGTAAATTATCGAATTACTTGCCGAAAAAGGGTGATTGGATGAATGTTTGGAACGTGCTGAGAGGAGAGAGGACAGAAGAAGGAAAAAAAGAGGAAAAATGCAATTGATAAGCTGTTAACCGTCAAGAATGTCTCAAATTGGTCAAGTGTCAGGTACGCTCAGATACTTTCAGGTACAATTGATATTTGATTCGCTCGCGGGTAAAATCCGTCCCGTGCATTGCATGCTACGACTACAGACTACGACTAACTCGGTACCTAGTCTCTGGTCTAGTATCATAGTAGTAATACTGTAGTGTGGTACGCTTGTCGTGATCCAGCAAGTCAAGCAAGTCAGGCAAGTCAAACCCTAGTTCACAGGTTAAGGTATACTTAACGAACCCTTTTTCGTGAATTTGACACCCCCTTTGTCTTATTCATCGACGCGAGGGTAGGGTATACATTTCTGAGTTCACCTCATCTCATCTAATTTGAAATAAGTCAAAATCACACGACAATCAAAGGAATTCTCATAGGCATACTCCATACTCCGTGCTCTATAATACTTTCTTATTACGAATTTGAGACCTCAAACGACCCCTTACTGTGACACACTCGATGCTCATCCCCCAAAAGCAAATCGTGATGCAAGAAAGTATAATTATACATCAAACAGTTGCAAGAAAAGTAAATCTCGACCTAGTTATCAATATCCTACAAATCCATTGATCAAAATCCCGAACCACCTTATGATCATGGTAGCAGCATCGGACACATCGTCTTCTACCATGCAGCTACTTCCTTGATTCCAAGCAAATGGAAAGTGATCCCAAAGACTCAATCTACGGGAGTAAATGGTTAACCGTGCCGCTAGATTATCAAGTCTCAGTTTCAGGAGTATGCAGAACGTAGTTGCATCGAAGCTTATTTTCGAGGGCCGGTCGATACGTTTACGATATGCTAAGATAATAGATAGAGTTTGGGGGCACAAACTGTGGGAGGGGTCTGGTTATAATTGA